ATTTCGGGTTGTATAAGGTTCTATAGGAAGGATGGTAAATAGGGCCTTTGACTTCTCAGCGTCAGTGCTCCCCAACTATACCCAGCTGATGCAGCGCAATTTGTTGCACATGCCAGCCACATCAGCAGCAGCACGGCGACTTGCAGGGTCATAGACACATGTGTGTAATACGTGCAATTCAAGATGCATCGTAGACCTTTGGGAAAGTGTGCTTTGACTTTGGGATCAAGGGCTTTGGGTACCTCCTCTGTGGGCAGGAAGCGCCCACTTATGACGGAACAAAATATATGTTCAGCAAGTTCATATACATGTGATTCAAGGCAGTGGGAGCCTTGAGCTTCAAGCTGGGAATCCCTAAAGTAGATTGGTTTGCGGTCGGACTGCTTTCTAGTCTGAACCTTGCCGGAAGCGTTCAAAGCCAGCATGGTGCCAGTACGAGTCTGTGGTGGCCTTCACATGATGCGCACCGCCCAAGTCCAAAGGAAAGGACGCCTGCCTCAGAAGAACACGAAGATGGATGCTTTTGTGACAGATCCAAATTTCAAGGACGAAGAAAACCTGCTTAGGTTTGTTTCAAGCCATGTTTGCAAGGTTAAGGAAACTGGTGGAGTGTGGGCAGCGCTCAGCTTGCAGCTCGGTTTGGCAGCTCGCCGCGCCGCTGCCTCGCAAGCAACATGGGATCCGTATCTTGCAACATAAGAGGATTGAAAAAAGAACCCTCGGACCCTACTTGTAGTTGAAAGAATGTGCGACAATTTCCCCCTTCTGAAGTCAGGTTTCCATGTTCTTGAAAAGAGTCAGATGCTAGCTTGATGCATGGTCCGTCTCCGTCGCTCTTCGCCTCCGCTGTTTCCGCGGGGTCATGGCAAGACCAGATTACTTACTTGAACCCTGCTCATGCTCTCTTCTGTTTGGCCGCGAAACCTTTCATCATAGCAGGTTATCGCGAACAACAACCTTCCGCACAGTCACAAACTTGTGCAAACCTGACGCGCGATTGGTCTTGGCTTACGTGGCGTGCTGTTCACAAACAAAACCTATACAGAGACCTCTCTATGCGCAACATGTGCTGCATGCGAAACTTAGACTTAGGCCAATCACTCGTGACACCCTGCGACACTCAGCGCTGGCAAACTTCAGGCCTCCAAGCTTATGACATAATCTTCATCCTTATCAGACAATTGCTTTTCGACTTGCGTTAAGACCAATGGAAACCGAAAAACCGCAGAACATCAAAACGACAATTGGAAATAACGGCTGCACTTGCGCTGCGGGGGAGGTGGAAAAACTCAAAATCGAAACAACATCAAAAAACACCGAAAAGCAAGCAAAAAACTCGAAACAAAAAAAGGCTGAAATGCCTGCGGGCCCGAAGCATAAATGAAATACATACATAAATAAAATAAACACATAAACAAATACATATGGCGTTTTCTGTATATATATATATATGATATGATATGTGATGATATGTTATGATATGATATGATATGATTCCCCAAACAGTGCTTGCACCATGGGGTTCTTACGTTCAGATTAAAGGAATTGGTTGCTGACCGCAACGGCGCGCGTGGCAGTGGGACGGGGCCTTGGTTTCGACGCCCCCGCTGTGGTTTCGCGCGAATTCCGCTGCGTTTCGATGCTCCCGCTGTGGTTTTGCGCGAATTCCGTTGCATTTCGATGCTCCCCCTGTGGTTTCGCGCGAATTCCGGCCTCTCGTGGCTTCTTCAGGCCTCTCTGGGGGGGCCACTTAGGTTGCCGACCGCAACGGCACGCGCGGTGGCACCTTGGTTAATTTCGACGCTCCCGCTGTGGTTTCGCGCGAATTCCGTTGCGTTTCGATGCTGCCACTGTGGCTTCGCGTGAATTCCGTTGCATTTCGAGGCTCCCGCTGTGGTTTCGCGCGAATTCCGACCTCTCGTGGCCTCTTCAGGCCTCTTCTGGGGGGGCCACTTAGGTTGCCGACCGCAACGGCGCGCGCGGTGGGACGGGTCCTTGGTTTCGACGCTCCCGGTTTCGATGCTCCCGCTGTGGTTTCGTGCGAATTCCGGCCTCTCATGGCCTCTTCAGGCCTTTTCTGGGGGGGCCACTTGGGTTGCCGACCGATGGTTTCGACGCTCCCGCTGTGGTTTCGCACGACGAATTCTGTTGCGTTTCGATGCTGCCGCTGTGGTTTCGCGCGAATTCCGTTGCATTTCGATGCTCCCGCTGTGGTTTCGCGCGAATTCCGGCCTCTCGTGGCCTCTTCAGGCCTTGGTTTCGACGCTCCCGCTGTGGTTTCGCGCGAATTCCGTTGCGTTTCGATGCTCCCGCTGTGGTTTTGCGCGAATTCCGTTGCATTTCGATGCTCCCCCTGTGTTTTCGCGCGAATTCCGGCCTCTCGTGGCCTCTTCAGGCCTGTCTGGGGGGGTTAGGTTGCCGACCGCAACGGCACGCGCGGTGGCACCTTGGTTTCGACGCTCCCGCTGTGGTTTCGCGCGAATTCCGTTGCGTTTCGATGCTGCCACTGTGGCTTCGCACGAATTCCGTTGCATTTCGAGGCTCCCGCTGTGGTTTCGCGCGAATTCCGGCCTCTCGTGGCCTCTTCAGGCCTCTCCTGGGGGGGCCACTTAGGTTGCCGACCGCAACGGCGCGCGGTGGGACGGGTCCTAGGTTTCGACGCTCCCGCTGTGGTTTCGCGCGAATTCCGTTGCGTTTCGATGCTCCCGCTGTGGTTTCGTGCGAATTCCGGCCTCTCATGGCCTCTTCAGGCCTTTTCTGGGGGGGCCACTTGGGTTGCCGACCGATGGTTTCGACGCTCCCGCTGTGGTTTCGCACGACGAATTCTGTTGCGTTTCGATGCTGCCGCTGTGGTTTCGCGCGAATTCCGTTGCATTTCGATGCTCCCGCTGTGGTTTCGCGCGAATTCCGGCCTCTCGTGGCCTCTTCAGGCCTTGGTTTCGACGCTCCCGCTGTGGTTTCGCGCGAATTCCGTTGCGTTTCGATGCTCCCGCTGTGGTTTTGCGCGAATTCCGTTGCATTTCGAAGCTCCCCCTGTGTTTTCGCACGAATTCCAGCCTCTCGTGGCCTCTTCAGGCCTCTTCTGGGGGGGCCACTTAGGTTGCCGACCGCAACGGCGCGCGCGGTGAGACGGGGCCTTGGTTTCGACGCTCCCGCTGTGGTTTCGCGCGAATTCCGTTGCGTTTCGATGCTCCCGCTGTGGTTTCGCGCGAATTCCGGCATCTCGTGGCCTCTTCAGGCCTGGGCGCGCGGTGAGACCACCTGGGGGCAGGATCAAAACAAACACAGGGTTTACGGGGGTTTAGGGTTTAGGGTCAACCCTGCGGCTGGGTGCTGGCGGGTAGCATTATGGGTAGCGATTTTGGGGTGGAGCATCATGAGCATCAGCTGGGTCTTTTGGCCCCCAAGTTCCACACGCGTGCAAATCCGAATCCCCCAGTGGTTGGCGTCTTTTTGACCCCCAAGGGAATTCGGCCCCCCACGAATTTTTGTAGCCTTTTCTGGCCCTCCTCACTGTTTGGGGTCTACGCCGGCATAATATGATATGATATGATATGATATGATATGATATGATATGATATGATATGTACAATATGAAGGAATTTTAGCAAATTTGTGCTGTTGTTATTATATTTTTTCACTTTCCGGGCCTGCGGGAATCCCAGCCTTGTTTTCGATTTTCTTCGGTTTCCTCGTGATTTTTGGATTCCCCCCCCCCCCCCTCTTCCCTGAAATCCAGCCGGTTTTTGATGTTTTTGATTTGGGAGGTGAATTTTGTATCATAACCCTAAGCCTCCAGGAAAATAGTTCGGAACCTCATGTGCTTACAACGTGACAGCCCCACAGACGCAAATCACGCAAACCTACGCGGAGGAATCCTACTCTCAAACCGATGCGGTCGACAAGAAACCTATGCGGTCGACAAGCGCGATGGGACATTCGAAAGCCCGAACTTGCAGAGCTGTATAAAATCTGTATAAACCCTAAACCGTAATTAAACCGTAAACCCTAAACCCTATAGGCGCGCCTTTCCCCAACAACTCCTTGAGTCCAGTGGGCTCGGTATCCGCGCCTCGGCGGCTCCGGATCATGAGCTTTGGGTTGAGGGTGGGGACCGGCGTAGCGTTTCATAGATGAAAGCTTCATCGCGTGTGGGTTCAACCCTCCTCAGAAATCGCCGAATCCGCAGGATTAAGCTCCATAACTCTGATCCCCAAGTCATGCGGCCCAAAAGCCCCGAAGCCCCCAGCATGTTAGAGACCTTGCCATGGCGGCTAGCAAAGTCGTAGCCGGTTAGCCGGCTTATCAACCTTGGGGTTTATCAGGATCTTGGCAGGGTTTAGGGTTTAGGGTTTGGGTTTAGGGAAGCTATACGCACTCACAAGCCGATGCTAGGTTGTCCTGTGAGGCCCCGACTGACGCTCTGGCCCATGGCTTGCAGGTTGCGGCGGCGTTTCACTATTAACCGACCTATGGAAGGATTGAGAGCCTATGCATGCAAATGCAAACAGGAATGATTGGGCTCTGAGATCTGTCAGAAATTCAGGGTCGGGTTCATGGGTGTTGGGTTGAGGTTGAGCTCGGGTGATTTCTGCCCGCTTGCGCCGGTCTGCGCAACCGTGCGTCATGCTGACCTCCATGCAAGTATACCTGCAGACGCGAAATCACCTCGCAAACCACGACCCGAACTGGTTCCGTGGAGATGCTTGGGCCGTCTTGGCTCAACACGCGGGGGCACTCAGCCATGCAATTGCCGAACGATTCGCACACATGCCCTGCTAAGCTGCTAAACCCTACTGTAATCACTTGTAAGACCTGAAAGAATCGCAAAGGCGGAACGAACAGACCTATCGACCCAAGATGTGTAACATCCTAAGCCCTGAACTGAAACCTCATAAATCCTCAGCAGTATTAGCATCAGTGGCTTGTTTGGGAGTCCATGGGCTCGTGACACAGCATTGTACCCTTAACCAGAAAGGCTCGAAAAGGGAGGCGGCGACCAGGTACATCTCCAGCAGATAAACGAGATTCACCTGCAGCTTCATGGGCCATTTCGCTCCGATTTCTATTCTGGTGGCGAATTGTGCTTTCGGGCTTGAAACTCACAGCCCAGGCAGTCTGTACACCCTGAACTCGTTCGTCCCTGCTTTCCGACATGTCTGGCCAAGAGAACTTCGGGGCGCGGCGAGCACGCGCCACGTCTCTTGAATCAGCCGTTCTGCGACCAGCGGTGGGATGGGGCTTAAGGGAGGTGAAGGTTTCGGGGCGCACTGGCTTCAACATGCCTTGCTTTGAACGTCGCTCTGGGGCTTTGTTGAGCTCTGGTGCAAGGGGTTAGACTGTCTTCGGTCTCATGATCGAAGCCCACTTTGAGAAATCGACCATCAGCCGAATCCCCAATCGTCAGCAAGCTGTGAAGAAGCAGACTTCACCTCGGCTTCCAACGGAGAAGCCCCCCCTGCTTGGAGCCATGCGAAACTGTTGGACCCTGCACCCCTGAGAAGCTCCTTCCACCTGAAGTCCTGCACCCCAAGCGCAAGAAAAGACTCCCACATAACCACCCTAAACCCCAAACCCCAAACCCCAAGCCCTTCCCCAAAGCTCCTTCCATCCTGAGCGCGCCTAGGTGCGGTGTCGCCTTTGTCGGGGTGCTCTGCGCGAAGGCTAAGGCGCTGTCAGCAATCTGCATTGGCGAGGCTGCGGGTGGCTTTCTAGAGTTTATCTGTAATTTAGAGGCAATTTATTATTTATAGGTAACTTATAGGTAATTGCAAGTTAGAGGGAAGTATAGATAAGTTATGGCAATGATACGTCGTCTTAGGGATCGTCCCGGAGTGCAGATGTTCTTGGTAGTCCTTGACGGAATGAGGACGACTCCCTGTCAGCTAAGGCCTCTCAAAGACGCCAACCCGAAAGAACAAGCAAATGCCGGAAAGGGTGAGCCTCCTGATACATGACCGTGTTGAGCACAAAGGAGATGCAGTAGATGGGATAGATCCACAGAATCTGTGCCGCGCAGGTAGCTCAAGGAATCTACGTTCACCAACCTAACCATGCGAAAGGACACAAAGGCAAAACATGCACAACAACGACGATAACACAAATGGTGGGCATCCTTGTAGAGGAAGGAGAAGGATGTTGCCTGCATTGAGCTCACATTTTGGTAGCAACGTGCTTTAGACCAAGCAAGGATCACAGGCACCCTCAACTGCCTCCTGCCAAATAAGGCGCAAGGAAAAACCTCTGGAGGTCCACTCACTGAGCTCCCCACGATGAACTCGGTAGCCCACGCTTCTTCCTCCTGCGTGCTGCCCGGTCCGCCACCCCCCCCCCCCCCCCCCCCCCCCGCCAAACTTCGCTCCATGAAGTCCCCATGCTCTCAGCAACGGTGCCCGCAATACATTTCCCGGGCTAAGGAGTCCTGAACGAGCCTTCTCAGGATGCCCAGCGCCTTGGCATCTGCTGTTTGTCATGCTGCCGAAAAACCCTATTGCTTTTGTGTCAGCTCTCTCTGCAACTCGCTCTTGAGGGGTAATGCTTGACGCCTATGGTGATGATACGCCCTGGGATAGCCTGCAGCAGAAACTTCCTCTGTTGAAGCAGTTGCTGTCTGCTTCTTCGTCGGTGCCAGGTCCGTGGCCGGCTCTATGGCGAAGTTGAAGAGAAGGATGCTGGCAGCTCAAAGAACGCTTCGCTCTACGGGTTCACGTAGGGTTTGGGGCTCAAGCTGAGTCCAAGTTTGGGACAGGGCTCGAAAACGATGTCTTCATATGCGCAAAGGTCCGAGATGCCTTCTCTACTCACGCAGTGCCCAGGAAGCCCCGTGTTTCTGAATATGATTAAAAGAATTCATAGTAACTCGAGCACAATGTCATTGTCTCAGTGCCGGGGTGCTTGGCCCTGCCAGACCCTTGCCTTAATAGCCCGCACATTGTCACAAGCTCGTTGACACACCGGTCCTGCCAAGGAAGATGACCCCGTTGAGCATGAAGCATTGCAGCGTCCTGTCCCCGTCCAGTGAGTTCTTGGTTCTTCGGAAGGAGCGGGGCCCTGCAATCTCATGATTTGATTCTTGTCGTGGGGTTAGCTACTCCGGGTCTCAGGACAGCTCGAACCTTCGACTGTGAAAGCATGGCAGTCCACCTGCACAAATGAGAACCGACATAGCAGCAGAGAAAGCTCTGAAATCTTGTGCAGCAGCTACACCCTGCACAAAGTTCCATGTCCTGAACCGGATGGTCTCTGACTGGGCCAGGAAAAAGATGCACTCGTGCAGCATGAGCGCATCCTTCACGCCCCTTAGCCTCGTCATCAGCGCCCAAGCTCCATCTGCCCTTGATTATGAACATGTTTAGGTGGCTCCTTCAGCCCACCTTTACACCCAAATCCTACGACTCTATCCCTCATCACAGGGTTTCGGGTTTAGGGTTCTAAGCCTTAAGCCCTACAGCATGCTAGTAAAATCCTCAACTCTCTCAACGCGAATTATCCTCTCGGGTCACTTTTTTGGGCAAGGCCCCGGCCACACACCCCCGGCTTCTCGGAGTGGTCCGGAGGGACCTTCAGAATGCTGCAGTTCCGGTCTTCAGGCCAGGTGTATAGGTTTGGGGCTCAAAGGCTTCCAAAGTTTGGGGGGGCCAGGGCTCACAAGGGCCCATGGAGTGTTGGCAGCGGTTTTGCTCAATTGTGAGCTGTGGGGCACTGGGGGAATGGGGCGTCGGTTCTTTGCTTACACCATCAGGCCAAAAACTTGCTCTCAAGGTACACAAACGAGCCTGCACGAGGCACCTGCATCTGCGAATTGTCCACGGCAACCCTGAAGCCCAAACTGTTAAACTTTTCAGGCTCTCAACAATCTGAAGCATGTCTATAAGCCCTTTGCCGGCAGGAAGATAGTCCAAGGCTTCCCTGTTCTTAAACCCTAAACTAGGCCCTAAACCCTAAACCCCAAGCCCTCAACCAGATGCGCCTTCCTCCGGCCATTCCGAGTCGGCTGTGGCCTGCGAGAAAGCTTGGCTCAGGGCCTGCCCTGGAGCCTCTCATAATCATGTATGCGGTCTTAAGCCCCCCGCAAAAAAGTCGAGTTGCAGCTACCATGAAGTGCTACAACGGAGACATTGGGGCCGGAAGATGGCCTGAATGAGCACCCCAGCTTCCCCAAACACATGCAGTCCCGGCTTTTGCTGCTCTTCAAGGTGCTGCAAAAGCTTCAGTGCACAACACAAACTGACCAAGTGGATATGGTGTGCAACAGCCAAGTTCAGTGCTCTGAAAACCTCCATGCGTAGCAGCCTTTTCTGTAGTTCATGAAGCTTAGGAAAGTCCTTGTGACAAAATGGCATTGTGGCGTCTCTAGGCCCTATGACCAAAAGCCGCGTCCAAGAACATGCTGAAACTGGGGCCGTCTGCAGGATTTAGGGACCCTGTTTAGGATTTAAGGCTGGAACCCCCGCTCTCAGACCGAGCACAGGGCCTTGTCGGCTGCCGACATTCGGCATGAACTATGGTGATGCGTCTGTAGCTGGTGCAGCGAGTGCAAATTACAGTTACCAGGGCTCCGCTCGGGGGCTTAAAGGTCTTTCACTGAGAGTTCGGAGCCCAGTGGGCTTAGGATTGTCATGGGCGTAGGTGTGCATGCTTAAGGTTTAGACGGTGTTGATGCATTCAGGGACTTGGGGTGGGAGACAGCAAAAATGAGCGCTATTCGGGTGCTTGCGTTGAAAGGCTTTGGCTTTTAAATCATCAGAAAGTGCACGCAGTCAGGACTAGCAAATTGAGGGGTGAGAGATTTCGTACTGCAGATGCACATGAAGGGAGTGCACTGAAGTCTTCGGCCATCACTACAGTCACTACAGTGCATGAACATGGACCCTGAGGCGAGGGATCAGCTGGAGCCCACAGGTCCCAACCGGCTGAGGTGAGCATCACTCGGGCAACCGTGCCGCATGCGGTGCAGCAAAGGTCAGACCGCCTGCCCTGCAAATCCCGATGTATACCAACATGTCGGAGCCCGCGGAAGCAGGCGGCTTGAGAAGCGGCGGCGCCGGACAGCAGTTCGGTTTGTCCTTGCGCATATGAATGCACATCGTTCCACACTACTCGGTTGAATTTTCTCTGCACAGATGTTGTGTGGAAAACTGAACCTGCCAGCGTCCTCTAACACGCGAACATGGCAGGTGAGTGCATATGGCGAGAAAATCAGCTAATTGCCGTTGCAAGGTGTAGACTCCAGGTAGACCTTGCAAAAGTCCACCCGCTTGCCGAGCTCCAGCTCTCTACAAATTTCGTAAAGTTGAGCTCGCCCACGGTGTATTGATCCTGCTTCCGATTGGTTCGGATGCTTTTTGCTCAGTTTGTACAACACACACAAGCATACACAAAACAATGCCAACACTATCAGGAACGCA